ATCGTCTGTTTTTAACTTTCAGATGAACATATTTTTTTTATCTGAGTTCTATTGTTCAAGGTCTGATACTTAGAAAAATGTAGAAAAATTTTAGGCGTTTGCTATTTGACAGGGGAGCAGAAAACCCTGTAATTTCTCCAAATGAGCTAGTATAATGTGGACAGCATCTGAAGTCGGCTTGCCCTGCATTTGCTGCAAATATGTTTGCTTTGGAGACGACCTTCTTAAGACATTCATATCACGAGCGATATTTTTTTCCTTCCTTCTTGCCGTCGAAATATAGTTCCTTTCAAACTAGTCATTCTTGAATCAATGAATTTGATGGATATAACAGAATATTTATGCTAAACTTTCATAATGATCATTTTGATCTGAAAGAGTTTGAATCCAAGTTTGTCGACGTAATTTGAGACAGAAGGCAATACTCAGCAGAAATCGTTGCTAAACTGAACAAAACCTTTAATTATCCTTAAAATCGAAGTCTCCTCTACTATTCAAGACGTTAGGCGATTTCGCAACAGCCACGAAATTTACGAGACGTAATTTATGTCAGTCTGCGCGCACATTTACCATTCAACACGCAAGTGTTCAACATTTGATGATGCTTTCGAGCCACGGAGCATCGAAGGAAACAAAAAGAAGTGGGGGCGAGAAGATGAAAGGGGATCGAGATGTCTGAGGTTGAACAAAGCTTTTGATGGGATACCGGGCCAAGTATTGAAATCCAATGAATTGCGTCATGTAAGCGCTTTAAGTGGACGAAAAGTTTAGCCACTCCGTTCAGAAATTCACACTCCAATTATTAGACTGTAAACTAAGTTTTGCAACTGGTTTCATAACTTCACTCTCTACCAACATGAGGCATCCAAATTTTGCCATGGTGTAGGTTATTATACGTAAGCTACTAGTGCAGCTGCTATTCTGAAAAATTCTGACGTCACAATGACGGTTACGGTAGGTATATAATATGAAGGGGAAAAATTCAAAGTTTGACGGATTTGGCTGAAACTTGGCATAGGGGTATTATCCAATATGCTGATCACGAAAACGATAGTGAAATTGCGTGATAAGGGCCTTTTTGTAAGGGTTACTGTATTTACAATACAGGGTCTCATCCTAAACAAGGAAAGAGGAATTGATATAACAAATGAATATGATGTGCGCGTTCGGCAGGTCAAATAATCTTACTATGTAAAGTCTCGGCGGAATTTGAGCTTCGGACTCTTTAGTCATTGACGGTCGCCAGCAGCTCTTGCGTACATCGACTCGTTCGTCTTTGTGAGGACGCCAAATCTCGACATGCCCCTAAATTTTGTTTCTTTCTTACTAGGCCAAAGGAGTCAACCTCCAGCAATAATTTGTAGACGAATCCGGATTACTGCGCATGATCTAGGCTGCTAATGCTTCATTTTAGCTTGAAACCCCAAAAAATTCTTACATTTCACTAGTTTTCGAAAAATGCTTGAAACTTTTCTACTTCATGTTCAAAATTTAGACAATTTGCGCCTACTTGTAGCACACATTACTCTCTACATAATGCCAAAGTTTGAGTGCGCCATATCCAAAGAGAGTGAAGTTATGAAACCAGTTGCAAAACTTAGTTTACAGCTTAATAAAATGCATGTGGTGCTCAATTTTTTCAATGGTTACTTATCGAAGCTTGGCGGCATTATTTCTTCATTCATATGATTATTTATGATCTATTTAATTTACGTTATTAGGTGGTTCTGTCTTACTCAGTACTGAGTAGTGTTGCGTTATTTATCACGCTGGGCATGTTCCATATCATTAAAAAAAGTTGTCAGTGAAGATCGTGTTCAATAGTCACCCAGAAAAGACTTCATCTGGGTTGTTGTTAGAGGGTAGCTCGCATGAATACCATGTGTCCATGATCTGTTGAACAATTATCTAAAGATAAAAGTATTAGGTTGTCCCAAAAGTGAACTCCACTTTCTGAGCTGTTTTTTGATTTTCTAACAGACTCAGGGTACCATTCGATAGAGCGGAGCAAGCTCTACAAAGGATCACCAAAGATCCACCCAAGTCATAATCCATGTGGAATTTGGAGCCAAAAATCAAAATTTTTCAATTAGCCTAAAAATCGGATCTCGATCTAGAAATCTAGAAATCTAGAAAATTTCTAAGGACCTCCAACTTGGTCATTATATTGTAGACTGATAGTAGTACCTAAAAATGTATTCGGTGGATTTTTTCCTGGGCAAAGTGAGAGATGGTCCGAAAATGCCAAAATGCCATTTTTTCGGGTTTTTCATGAAAAACTTGGTATTTCATGACTACAAGAGCACATACAAGAGTAAAGTTTTGAGAGTATACTTAGTAAGGCTTGTAGTATGCAATGACATATGTGGAAGGGGCGGAGTTTGCTATTCTGGACTGTCATTCTTTTCTCGCTTTCTATCCAGTAAAGGCATATTTGAGTACTACTGTGTATGTGTCTGCTGTATAATGACCAAGTCGGAGGATTTTTCCTCGCAAAAGTCCTTTTTAGGTGATAATTTCCTTCCATTTTGGCTTCATACTTTACATGGAATGCGACTTAGACGGTCATTTTGTAGAGCTCCTTAGTCTACTAGAAAAAAAAACAGCTCGAATTATTTGAAAAGGGAGTTTACTTTTGGGACAACCTAGTAACTTTCGTAATTGAACAGCAACGATAGCAAAAAAGGTCATCGAAACCGCTCGTCCATTGCTTTCAGAAAATATGTAGTTTATCTGGGATCCGTGGTTCAAAGTATTTGGGGGAGAGGGACAAAATTCTACAAGTTTACAGTTTTTCAGGACAGAAAACTCTGCAACTTCTGCACACGAACAGATAGAACAATGTAAAGAGTTTCACTGAAACCGTCTTTTCCATCGCTTTCGGAACTATACACGCTTTGATGACGAAGTGTGCTGAGACATTCATATTACGAGCGATATCGCTTTGTTTCTTTCCTCCTTACCAAGGTCGAAAAATACACCGAGGAGTTACTTGAATAGGAAATTTGTACCAAAGAAAAAAGAAAATATCAAATAATCAAAATCTCAAAACAATCTTTTCCATCATATGAGATAATTTCAAATTATGTTTATCAACATAATTTGCGAACAATTATACATATAGCAGAACGAGATAAATTGAATTTTTCTCAACAGCAGTCCCAAATATGAGTGGCCAAGCTTTGACATTCAAGCAATATATGATAAGTTTCAGTTTTGAATGCTTTCAAGTGGCATTTTTAGAAAGGTCAGGGTTAACGAACAAATATTCTGACGAATTGTGAGAAGTTAGTAAAGCGAACAATAGTCTTTGAAGTAGATGAAATTGCTCTCTGACTATTTGAACTCTTAAAGGCAGCGTCCAGGCAAATCTGAACCTGTGGGGTTTTTACGAAGTAATTTTGGGGCCCTAACTAAGCCAATGCCCAACCGGCAGCTCAGGTAGTGCTCTAACGGCTGAGATATTCGCCTCGAAACTGGACCCCCGGGATCGTATTCGCATTGATTCATGGCACAACCCATCAATTTCGCGCGAGGACCCATGAAGTTGCGCCATGAATCCATGCGAATACGATCCCGGGGTCCAGTTTCGAGGGAATATCTCAGCCGTAACAGCACTACCTGAGTTGCCGGTTGGGCAGTGGTTTAACTAGGACCCCAAAATTACTTTTCACGTAAAACCCCCATACGTCCAGATTTGCCTGGACGCTGCCTTTAACGGCCGGGCATACTTCACGCGATTTCAGTCGCGACGCGACTTGGCAATATTCCAACTGTCCATAACGCACTGGAAGCACGTTTTAAATGTACAGAAGATAGGGCATTTTATCAATCCACGTACTAAGTTATACGCACTATGCATTTGCAGTTTGCTAGTGTTGGATCTGAAGACTTCTGGCGAATTGCCAAATCGCCTGGCTACTGAAATCGCGTGAAGTATGCCCGGCCCTTTACATAAGCGCCATACTTACCACCCATTTTTTGCCCCAAAGTTATTGGAAATGAAGCTGGAAATGTTTGAAAACGGTTATAATCAACGTTTATCATCCGGTTGCTGTTTAGAGAGGGTTCACTCATACTTTGCTAGAAGGAATAAGAAAATTAGCAAGGAGTATTGCACTTGCTATTCCTCTTATTGCCTTATTTTGATAGTTATAGTAGGTCACATAACATGCTCAGGTCTGGGGGATTTCGAATTTTTCTTGCAAATAGTATATTTTCATAATGTTAAACTCGATGAACAGCAAGGCGGAATGCACTTTGGCAAGATTGATTGCTGTGTGTTACTATTTTCACTTCTTATTCGAAAATTCCAATGTGGCGTCCAACAGAGCTGCAAAATAACAAAAGTTTGCACTGTTGTTATTTTGTTCTGGTACAATCAAAACCACTGGAAAATCGGTTCGAGTGCATTACTTCCTGCTTTCATTAATCTTCTGCTTTTCGTGTCTGATGGAGTGTGGGATCAACGGTTCATATGACTGATGTTGGACTTCGAATTTTCGGAAAGTTTTTGACGAACATAGGTTGTCTTTTCCATACATTCGAATATTTGTGTGAGTGTGAACGTAACCGATTTAGTGATATTTGTGAAGAAAAAAAATTATCCGCGGAAGTTCAAGTGACTTTTTTTGTTTACCAAATTATAATAGAATCGTCTATGGACTTGTTGTCCAAAGGTACTGATTTCAAATCTATTCACAGAAAAAAGAGAATCTCAAGTGGTTTGCAATCCTTCTTTGCCTTCTAATTCTTTTTGAGACAACAATCTTTTCTTGTTCCTGAAAACATTTATTTTCTCTTAGATTTGGTCTAGCAATTTATACATTTTCATTCAATATGCGCAAGGTTCTGAGAAATGAAATTATACCCGTGAACTGTGAAAATTTTGATGGGCTCCAGTCCCTGCACTATTGCCGGATTTTGTTTGAATGGTGCCATAAGGCTACGCAAATAAATGCGCAAAAAAAGTTTTCAAAACGTCAATGTTCCATTTTCAGGTGCTGCGACTGTTTCTTCAAATTCCTAATATCTATGCAACGAAGGATCTCCGAAATGATTTCGAAGCTAAAGCCAGAGAGAATATCGCAAGAGAAATCAAACTTCTTGAGAACCATGCAAGAACCTACTAGGATATGATAGAATGGATTCAGCCTGCTTTATCGTTTATAGACAACTTTTGCATTGGTATTTCTTTTGATTTGAAGAGATTCTTCTGAGGCTTGAGCTTGCATGACCGTCAAATGATACTCGTCTTATCGTTCAAAAAATTGTTCATTGTGGCATGACAAGGATGATGCTTTCATAATAATCGATTCTCTACGTGTATATATGTAAATATATGGTGCTGTTTCAGTCCCTGTTTCATTTCGCATGCAATTTCCATCGATATCGTACACTTATATAATTTTTATCTATACGCATTTTGTGTCAAGGAATAAACATCCATCTTAAGAAGTACTGCAGAGTTGCTTTATTGGCTATCATATAGCGCACTGGATGATTTGTTTACGAAGCACGTAAAACAATCACCTTCTTCTTCACTCTACACACACGTACGTAGATGAGCAAAATAGACACAGCAAACATTTTACACTCGCCACTCCTGAAGTATATCAACTCTGTAAAAGTCATTTTCTATACTATCTCCTGATTATTAGACGGTTTTCTGATGCCAGAAATCAATCACTCCTTGCCATGACATTCCGAAGCTTCCTCGTAGCTGCTTTTCAAGTCTTTGATGTAAATCGCATGCTCATAGATATACTGCTTCATAGAAAATTTTGGAAGTGCTCTTTTCACCTACACAGTTGGTATGATGCGCTAAGCTTTCTAAATAAGCTTTCTGCGTAAGATGGGAATTCTAAGAGCCGAGAATTAATACTCGTGGCTTTGACTACTATGCGAAAGTTCATATACAGCCCTACTCGGACTATGTGTATCATACGTAATTATACAGAAATCGGTGAACATGAATCTCTTCCAAAGTTACTTACAAAATGCAAGATGTTGTTAGATGCATGAAGATCAGAGAGAGCGGCAAAATGAATTACTTCTAAGCACTCTGCTGTGGGTGTGGTGGGTGTACCTTTTTGCTATGTATCGCTCAAAAAGAGCAGTTCGATACAAGTGCACTGTGTTCAAATATTTGTTCTGAACTAGGAGACTATGCGCATAGCTTCGTACTACATTCGTTAATCACACGATCAAAAAGTAGGGAGTTTTTTTTCGTTTGCTATTCTGTGTCTGCTCCCATAGTATTAAACTGGCAGGAAAGTTCTATCGGACCATTTTGGAGAAATCTGAGAAAGTGCCTAAAATGCTCTCTATTTTTTCGTTTTCGTAGAGCAGGTCAAAGAACTTATATAGCTAAGATTCAGGTTTTATTATGACGATGTTTCCACTTTATGGCGTTTATCCCGAAATTCGTAACCTTGCATTCAATCGGTGCACTTGATTGGTACTTTAGAACCCTTAGGAAAAGCAGGAAATTTTATTACCGACCTCCAGAATCGACTGCAACGTCTTGAAGTACTTGCGACTTAAGTATGAAAATTGAAATCGTGATCATATTCTTGACCCGATCTCCCATACCTGTTCTCAATAAGCTTCATGATGTCGTAACAAAGCGCGAAAGATTTTTTTTTGTTGAATGCATCAAATGCATGGAAACTGACTAAAATAACGTGTAGTAGCTATAACTTTCAAACTGCGACGAAACTTTAATGCCGACGTAAATATTTTACTATGTACTACGTATAAGAGTGACATACCCAAGGTAATGAAAGAAACGGTGATAAGGAAGAATGAGTGAGCATGAATTCTGTAGCAAGAGGTTATTATAAAATTTGCTAACTAATAAGAGAAACAGCTGGTAAGTCTTGCCCTTTCTTTAATCTAAACAATTCCGCAAATCGAGAGAGTCTCTTCTTTTGCTGAGTGTGACCAGTTCCTACCATCTTGCTAAAAACAATAGTCGCTTACCTAAAATGAGCGATCAGTGAAACCTTTTCCAGTACATATGACGCAACTTCTTTACACTCGAAACAATTATGTCCGTAATACCAGTCATATGGAGCAGTAAAACTGAATGTTGAAGAGAATTTCTAGACAAGAATTTCATTTTGCTTGGTTTTCGACCGCCTGGAAACTGAGCACTTGATTATTCAGTTAAGAGGAGGAACTACTTTCTCCCTCTTCTATTGCAATAATATTTTGCCAAAATTCAGAAAAGCTGACCTTCACCTGCCATCAGCTGGTTTCAGTCTGTTTATTAATATCCTACTCGTGTTATTGCACTGTAGCAGACTTGAAAAGTTTATTACTATATTGAATATACCTTGCAAAATATCTAGATTTCTCACTTATTTTCTTGCATTCAAATCCTCTGCGTTAGATAGCACTGTGCACTGCCCGTGTCAGCGTCGTACCAGCATCGTGCCGGGATCCACATGGACGCACCCCGTCAAAATGCTACCACGGTGCTGGCACAGCGCCTCCTCTAGGGCAACCCTAAACGTTGCCTTAGGGTAGCTCACAGTTGATATAAAAATTATAGACAAGAACTTTTATCCGGCCAGAGTTGATGTGTCTATATCTTGCACTGATTGCTTTACTGTCTACAATTAGATAAGAATGCCGTTGATCTAGAAAAGCCATTTTGCAGAACACCACTGTAATTTTTCAAAATCAGATACAAATTTTTTCTGCGACAGTCCGCTCTGTTTTTTTCTTTTGCGATCTGGAGTAGCAGTTTCAAATTTTCATACCAAATGTAAATTGCTGGGCAAAAAATTTGTAGAGTATGTATCTCAAGCTGGATAAAAATTCTCATGAGGTTTTTACCACAAGGGATATTTGGCCGAAGCCGAGACCTTAGTCAGTAAAGGGCTAATTCTGTAAAGCTTTAGTTTCAATGTATGTCTTACATGGGAAACCCGTCCCAACTTCTAATGCAATACTCGACGATAAAAGCGGAGAAATAGACTTTGATAATCAGGATTTAGCCTCCCAACGCAATGAAATACATTTGTGTAAAGCTTTGATTTGGGACTTGATACTATAACTTTCGCTTATTTTCTTGTCTTCATAAAACTCTAGAACAAAGCCTTTTCTCTTCCATCTAGTAAAAAATTTGTACATTTTTCATTTCTTATAATTTCATATAATATTAACATTGCTCGGCGGGTGCAGCTGCTCCCCCTACAAAGTTTGTTTTTACCAGTATGTCATTTATGCTTTGGATAAATGACTGACTTTCAACAGCATGTCATTAGTACGCCAGTATAAAACGTCAATTATCTTTACGAGGATCTTCTGAGCAAGATAAATGGCATTTGTTTAGAAAAAGTGGGATTTGTCAAGCAGAAAATAAGAGCAATCCCCTCACATTATTTCGCTCAATTTACACTTCCTCGAGAGAGCTGAGAACGTGCATGTGGTTGTTGGTATTTTAATCGCACGAAAAAATCGTCAACAGCAGATGTTGATGAAAGTGGTGTACGAGGGTGTGAATAGTTTGTGCGTGGGTCTGTGCGTAGCAGTGAAAGGACACACACCGGAGCAAATCCGAACGTAAAACCAATGCACGCTTGGTGTAAGCAGGCGAAAAAAGCATGAGAAAGGATTTGATTGGCCAATGCAGTTCGAGCAGCGAAGAATAGTGATGTGTGTTATATACGAGAAGTTGAATATGTACTAAAAATCACGAGTTATTATACCTGCCAAGTTTTTTGCTTAAAAAGTGGGAAAACAAGCACGTAAGTCGTGAGATGGCGCGTGTGGTGTGTAGTAGACTTCGAGGACACAGAGTACGCGATACTTATGTCAAAATCTGTTCGAGTGAGACGGTTATAACAACCAGTTGCAACGTAAGAACCGTGAGTTGACTCATGCTATATGCAAATTCACAAATGTATCAACTTACAAATGTAGCTACTGTACTCATACTCAATTTTCTGTAATGGGCACGGGTTGAAGAAAATGATCAAAGTATGGATAGTTCTTACGGTATTCCATAGCAAGAGGATGAAAATAACTATAAACATACTTATTTATTTATTTTCTTGGCATTGTATAATTTTTAGTTTATTTACGCAAGTTCGGAATTATGTTCAACATGTTATGATGGTACACCGTTGAGACAATGTATTTTCAAGTGAGAAAATGGGAATTGGAAAGGAGACGAGCAGATTTTCAATTTTTCAAAATGATTTTTGATAACAAGGGTTATAGTAACACTAATACTTTGAACTCTCCTGTACCAGTTAACAACGATATTTGGACCTCAGCTTTGGTCTTACACCCTTTCACCTTTACCACTCTCTGCATGGTTCAGAAAAAAAAGTTCCGAAGTGAGCAGTTAGCGAAGCAGCCTATTGTAACGAGCAAAAGAATTTTTCAATATGTATATAACGGAAATGTTATTGCTATTTGATTTTACCGCATGAGAAAGGCAAACATTGGTCAACAAGTTTGCGATTCGTCGATATTTTTGATTTTTTGACGCATGCTCCATACTAAGTTTTTTTGAGCGTCCTGAGCGTTTTTGATTCATTGCGTCATTTTTATTCACAGTGAATGTTTATTTCTTTTTACCGGACGAAATCCGAGTCATGACAATGGCAACACTGTCCTTAGCTTCTAAACTATGGAGTGATAGGTAACCGTTATGGCCTCACAGCCTGCCCGAAAAGTCTTACTTTTATACTAGATCTGCGAATGATTTACGCAATTACGCACAGTCCTTAGTTTCTGCCTGTCCTGCCGCCCTGTGAAATTCACCCCCTACAGTGAAGAGGACAGTTTTTGCTTGGAGAGACAGATTCCATCTAATGCTCAGACCGCTTGGGCAACTTGGTTGATCTTAGATGGGTGGAATGAAATGCAGAAAAAGTGGGCATATTGCTCTAAAAGATACGGCATTCCAGACTTTTTTGCAGAAGGTTTTGCGCAATTCTTAAAATACCCAGAATTTCTCAGCAAACCCGGACTAAATGAAATCTGATACTCAGAAACGTTGATTAAAGTGCAATATATCATACATAATTGGGATTGCCGCAAGCTGCCCAAAAATACGAAAGTATTCCTTCTAAACTGATTTTTGGGCTCTCGACGTTCCAGAGTGCCCATTCATTACTACGAATAATATACAGCATTGTATGGGTTTATCAAGACCATGGAGTCCTCTCATGAGAGCCTCTGGTGCTTGTCTGCCCGTCTGCGCATCCACCTATCGCGCGTTGTCTAGTCGCTCCAAAGCCTTGTGCGGAGCATTTGGCTTTGGTAACCTTTTCTCGTCTGCTCCAGATAAACCCTGCCAAGTCATTAGAATCTTCGAGCTCGGGTCTATTTACCGACAACTTCGCTAAGCTCAGTTTTTTTATTCAAGCGAGAGATCTGTTGAAAACAACATTTTTCAACTCTTCTGTTTTTCCCATTCGATTTTTCAAGGTTTTT